TGCGGCTGCGTCGGGGAAGGCCCCTCCTGTCACCTCCAACTGTCGGCGCAGTCTCTTGCGCGGCGAAAGCCCCCCCCCCCCCCCCCTGCCACCTCCAACTTAACTTTTGGCGCTGCTCTTGCGCGCCGCCACCTGCTGCCTGGACTGGCAGAGCCTGGGAGGCGACAGTGCCCCAGTAAATGGGCCACTCGTCGACCAGCGCCTGCAGGCTCTGCTGAATGGTGAGCGGCACCGCGCCATCTGTGTTGGCTGGCTTCGCATTCCAAGGCTGAGCCGTCTTCGTGACAACATGGATGCCGCCTGAGCCCGTGGCGACGGAGCGCAGCACCGAGTCGATGCAGTTCTTGGAGGCTTGATCGAGATCCGTCTTGACCATTGCCTCGGACCAGCTGAAACACGCCGCACTGAGCACATCAAGCTGATTAAGGGAGAAATCCTGCGCGCCGCTGGCGATGATGCTGGCCACGCCCTGCAGCTCTGTGAGATCGGGCGGCGGCCTGCTAGCCAGCCTGCCCAAAGCGCGCGGGGCTCCGAACCTGGTGAGCGGCCGCTCGATCTGCGCTGCGTCTCGGAGACAGATATCAACCGACCTGCGCCGGGTCAGAGCTCGAGTGGCGCGCGGCAGCCTAGGCAGCGACGGCGCCGTGGCTGAGGTGGCTGAAAGCCTGGGCCGTTCCGCGCGGCCTGAATACCTGTCGAGCTCGTGGATGAGCCCGCGTGCGTCAATCATGTTGACCTCCGCCTGCTTGACGAAAGTCTGCCACGCGCTGTCTAGGTCGGTCATGCGCTCGAGCTGGTCACGAACGGCGCGCCAAGCTGGGCCATGATCCTGCGTGCAGCAGGCCAGCGGCCTGGGTGGAGGCAGCCGCTCGGTCGCGCGCGTGGCGGCGACCTTCTGGCGCGTGCTCGGGCCGAGCAGCTCGAGCGCAACTAGGTAGTGCGGGCCGAGGTCCGGCCCGTGGATAACGCTGGCCTTGGCCCCGCGGAAGAGCCTCGAGACCGCGCAGAAATCGATGGCCCTGCCTGCGGGCCTGCACGTGGCCCCCGCGGGCGCAGCAACCACCGCCTGCGCCGCCTCTAGCCAGCCAGACTCTTCCAAGACCGACGGCTCCATGTTGAAGCCCCCGCGCACGATGAAGGGCCTGTTGGCCGCCTGCAGGGCCTTGAGCACCGCGTAGAGGGCGTCGGCATTGCTCTGGTTGAGCCCGACGTTGGCCTCCAGATGCACGTTGACCCACGCGACGCCGTCTCTACAGACGCCGTTGAGGTGGGAGATGATGGCGCGACCAGGCCCCAGCACAGCCGGCTTGCCGAGCATGTCGCACGGCCCAAGCTCGAGGTGCCGGGGCGCCATCTGCACGAGGCCCCCAGCACCCTGGGAGCCCAAACCAGCGTTGATCGCTGGCGCAGCTTCCGGGGCCCATCCGAGCCGTCGATGCTGTCCTTGAACGTCTTGAATGCGCCGCGAATCCAAGTGCGTCTCCTGAGCGGCAACGAAGTCGCAGCACCTGATAGTTGCTGCGCCCAGAAGGTTGGCGAACCTCGACCAAGCATTGCAGTGGACCGCGGGGCCAACCCACCAACGCCCTTGCTTGTCCGCCGCCCTGGGCATCTGGGAGGAACGATTGCCGCCGCTGGCCTCGCCGAGGCCGCTACCCCGAGGTCTTGGAGCGCTTGGCGGCCCCGAGCGTGTCCATTGCCTCCTGGAGCCTCTTCCTCTCGTTCTCGTCCGCAGCGCTGCCGAGAAGCCCCCCCGGGACCCTCGCCCTCCATGAACTTGTCGAACTCGTCGCTGCCTGGGCCGCCTGCCATGGGAGCATCGGCCTCAGCTGCGCCACCGCCCGCGCCTGCACCAGGGGCGCCTGGGCCTCCACCTGCGGCTGGCTCAGCGCGGGCAGGCTCTGGCCCAAGAGGTGGTGGGGCTGCGGCAGCAGCCATCTCGCCCAGCAGCGCGGCGAGGCTGGCCAGGACCTCAGCGCCCGACTTGCCCTCCGTGTCAATGGAGGCGACCTTGTCCTTGACGGAGCGGAGCGCGTTCTCAACCGTGGTGGAAGAGTAGAGCTTCGCCGCCTGCTTCTTGGCCTGCTCGAGCTCCGCCGTGCGCTCGGCGAGGGCCCGATCCGCGTCTGCCAGCGCCTCCAGAGCCTTGCGAGAGTTCCCCAAGGGGCGCTCACGCTTGGCGGTGGCGCCGGCGACGGCCAACGATGCTTGATCGACTGCCAGAGGGGGCTTCCGCGCCTCCGAGCCCAAGACACCAGCGGCTGCCGTTCAACGTGCCAACTCGACCTTGTCTCGACTGCTGCGTGAAAGTCCGTCCTTGACGACCTCGCACGACTCCATGGCCATGGCTGCGCAGGCTGCAGTCTTCTCTGGCGGGAGCGTGAGGGTTGTGGGGGCAGCAGGCCCTCCGCCGCCAGGTCCGAGCCCTTCGCCACCGCGTTTTTTGCCGCCGCCTTTGGGTCCTTGCTTAGTCCAGGGAGCTCCGAGATTGCCGCCGCCGGCTGCCCGCTTGCCCCAAGGCTTGTGGTTGTCGTTCGCTGCTGGTACGTTGCGGTCCGTCCGCTTGCCCTTACACCCTGCCTTGATACAGGGTGAGAGATGTCGTGGCGTAGAACCTCCGCACCGCACGTACTGCCAGCACTTCGCCATGAGAGCCAGAGGGTCTAAACGACCACACAGAATCGGAAAATGACTGCGCACCCTCGGGATGAGGGAGGCAGGTGGTGACCCGGGGCGGACCTGGCACCACGCGAAGATGAACCGCAAGCCAGGGGAACAGAGCTATCCCGTTTTCGCCTGGGGGCTGGCAACCCTCCAGCCATGGAGTCTCGAGCCGCAATGGTTACGGAGCGGCCGGTGGGGCCTTCGGTGGAGCTCCCTGCGGGGCCACGGTGCGCAATATTTTCGGGGGCAAACGCATGTGATCACAGCCGCTGGGGCCTTCGGTGGAGTTCCCTATGGGGCCACGAAGCGCTGTATTTTCGGGAGCGGACGCATGTGATCACAGACGCTGGGGCCGTCGGTGGAACTCCTTGTGGGGCCACGCGACGCTGTATTTTCGGGCGCGGTCGCATGTGATCGCAACCGCAGGGGCCTTCTATGGAGCTTCCTATGGGGCCACGAAGCGCTGCATTGGATGCGGAATGCAGAGGCAAGGATTGGAGGATGGTGAAGAGTGGCGAAGCTGAGAAAACAGAGGAACGCGGGGCACTATGTTTTCAAAACGAGACCACATTAAAGGTTTGGGCCGACACAATGTAACTGACAATGTGTTCTGGTTGTAGTCGAGGGCGTCGTGGGCTTCACACCGCCCTGAATCTCTCCAGACCGCTCTCGTCTCATTCGCAGATCCCTGAACATGAATATAGAACAAGCAAGCTGCAAGGAACCACATCAATGCAGCAACAACAACAGCACGCTGCGTTGTGGTCGTTGCAGAGGGCGCTCTGGGCTTCATACCTCCCTGAACCTCTCCAAGCCGCTCTCGTCTCAGCCGCGGAATCCTGAAATGAAGCTAAAACAGCAACGCTGCAACGCAACCCAAACACTGCAATATACATTGTAATGCAACAGACACTGTTCCCTGGTCGCCGTCGAGGGCGCCGTGGGCTTCATACCTTCGTAAACGTCTCCAGCCACTCTCTCCTCACTCGCGGGATCCTTCGCTGAAGCTAGAATAGCAAAGCTGCAACGCGAAACGCAAAGTTCAATTGCAAAACCACGCAATGCAACCAAACCCTGTTTTCTAGTCGTCGACGGCGCCGTGGGCTCTATACCTCCCCGGACCTCTCCAAACCCTTCTCGTTTCACCCGCGGAGCTGAAGCTAAAATAGCCACTTAACTTGCAATGCAGAAGAAGTTGCAACGCAAAAGCAAAGCATCCTAGCGAAATACCCGGCCATACGCAATTGTGAGTACCGCAACGCAGGTGGGACGAAGAAGTGGGAGTTACTTATGCGGCCTCGAGACGTGTGTGCACCAACACAGGCATGGGGGCGCATAGAGACACCGCCGCTAAGGGCTTTCGGTGGGGTTCCAAAGGGGCAGGCCACGAAATGCTGTGCTGGGTGGCGCGGGCGCATGTGATCAAAGCCGGTGGGGCCTTCGGTGGAGCTCTCTATGGGGCCCCGGAGCGCTGTACTGGGTGGCGCGGACGCATGCGACATAAGATCGCAACCGTTGGGGCCTTCGGTGGAGCTCCCCATACGGCCAAGAAGCGGTGTACCTCGAGCGCGAACGCATGCGATCGCAGCCGCTGGGGCCTTTGGTGGAGCTCCTTGTGGGGTCATGGAACGTAATATTCTCCGGCACGGACGCATGTGATCACAGCCACTGGCGCCTTCGGTGGAGCTCCATGAGGGGCCACGAAGCGCTGTGCTGGGTGCGGAGGGCAGAGGCAGGGATGGGAGGATGGTGAAGAGTGGCGAAGCGGAGAAAAAGGAGGAACGCCGGGCACTTTCTCTTCAAAACAAGAACGCAACACCACAGGATGGCAGGGAAAACACGCAATGCGACAAACAATTATTTTTTGTCGTCGTCGAGGGAGCCGTGGGCTTCATACTTCCCTGGACCTCTCCAAACCGCTCTCGTCTCAGCCGCGACATCACAAGCTGAGGTTAGAGCGGCAAAACTACATCCAAAGTGTAACATTCAAACTTTCGATGTTGTGTCTTTGCGTGCCGCGGTGTGCCACAAGGCTGAAGGATTATTGCTTTAGTTGTTTTCGAAGCGTGGTCCCTAGAGCTCTCGACCCCCTGGTCGTCTTGACCTCCTCACTTACTCGAGGCGCTGACGGTTTGGATCCCCCCCCTCCTTCCCACACTTGACGGGGTCCTCTTCCTCCTGCTCTCATCCTGTACTCTTCCTCCTCCCACCTTCCTCCTGCTCTACTCCTGTCCTCCTACTCCTCCTCCTCGTCCTCCCCGTCCTCCTCGTCCTCGTCCTCGTCCTCGTCCTTGTCCTCCTCCAGTTCCTCCTCCTCTTCTCGGCGGAACCCAATCCTGCTGCCGGACGTAATTCACGAACTCGAACTTCCGCATGAAATCCTCCCTGCGCTTCTGGCGCCGGCGCCCCATCACGACCGGCGGAGGGCCATCCTCGGCCTCCCGGGCCGCCTCCTCGTCCTCCACGGGCTCTTCCTCTGAGAGGAGCGAGGGGGGAGGGAGGGAGGGAGGGAGGAGGAGGAGGAGGACGAGGAGGAGGAGGAGGAGGAGAAGGAGGAGGACCTGACGCTGCGGGCTCGAGGAGCACACGGCCTGCCTAACAGAAGGTTGCGGGGGAGGGACCAACGAGAGCTGAGGGAAGAGGGGAGGCAGAGAAACATAAAATCGGCATCAGCATCAATCACTGGCGCTGACCCCGCACCCCCCCTCGGCGGAGCCTCGGGCGCGGCCCCTGGAGGCGCTTCGCGGGCCAGGGAGGAGGGTCCAGCGCCGATCCCTTAAATCTGCGCGGACCTCCGAAAATGTATTCCCCAAACAATGCTTGCACTTAGGTGTTCGGGTTCTTACTTGTGATGCTATGGAAGTAGATGGGTGTGTCAGGGTTCGGCTGTTGCCCAGTTGGTGCCGCCTCGTTGCCGCCTCGTGCGGTACGTGGGTGTGACGGGGATTCGGCTGGTGCCCGGTTGGTGTCGCCTCATTGCCGCCTCGTGCGCGGTGTGTCGGTGTTTCGGCTGGTGTCCGTTAAGTGCCGCCTCGTTGGCGCCTCGTATGCTGTGTGTGATAACGTGTGTCGTTTTTTCGGCTGGTGCCCAATTGGTGCCGCCTCGTTGCCGCCTCGTGTGCTGGGTGGGTGTGTCTGGGTCTCGGCTGGTGCCCCGTTGCTGCCGCCTCGTTGCAGCCTCGTGCGCTGGGTGGGTGTCGGGGTTTCGGCTGGTGCCTGGGTGGTGCCGCCTCGTTGCCGCTTCGCGTGCTGGGTGGGTGTGTCGGTGTTTCGGCTTGTGTCCGGTTGGTGCCGCCTGGTTGCCGCCTCGTTGCCGCATCGTGGGCGCCCCGTGCCCTGAGCTTTCGCGACATAGCTGTCACCACAAAGCTTACCACCAACACTATTACACGACATAGCTTACATCACTGAGCTTGCAACCTAAGGATTCACCTCCAGTTCACACCGCCAAATTTGAACGACATAGATGATACGAAATAACGCACACCGGATAGATTTCACCTCCTCAGCTCGCAACACACAGCTTAGACGACATAGTTTTCACCACATAGCTTCCAGCGCATAGCTTTCACATCCACAGTACAACTACGCATTGACTGGGGCCCACGCTGGCTAAAATGTTCATGCTACTCTGTCAAAGGATGACGAGGAGCGAGGATGAGACATGGGGGACGAAGACAAGAAGTATCAGCAACAAGAACAATCTTTGCTGGATTCGCCAGGGGAGCCACTTCTGAATCCACCCTGACCGTCCCTCCGAATTCAGGACGCGGTGGGCCCGACTCCGAGACGGCCGAAAACAAAAACTCGGAGGCCAGATGTGCCATGGCTCTCGGCTCGAAACTACCTGGGCCCGAGATCAACGATTCGTGCGCGGGCCTCTGGCAACCCTGGCAGTGTATTGGGTCGGCAAGTGGAGGCCCCCCGAACGGGGTCCGAGCAGATGGGGTCAGAGGATCGCGCTGCATCGGCGATTCATCGGCGATACAGCGACGCCGTCGGCGTGAAGATCATCGGGGTCCACAACGAGCCACATCCCCGATACATCGGTGATGCGGCGGCGATGCACCAGCCCCATATACTTTGACCCCACGTAGGCTGCCTGGAGCAGGGGCGCACGCGACGTCCTCGGCATCTGGATCAAGAGGCGGCGCACGGTCGTGATACTTCGTGCGCGATTTTTGCACCTTCGGCATGGAATCCTCTCCGCCTCCGCCTCCGAGGGCGCGCGCGCGCGCGCCCGGAACGGTGGGCTTCCGAGAGCTCGGCCCTGAGCCGTCGTGGCCATGCACATTCGCGAGCGATGCTCGTGTCTGGACTTGCGTGGGCGTGAGGACGGCCCAGGTCACCTGACTCCGCGCCCTCGCGCACTGCTATGCATGACGCGAGGTCATACTCGCGCCCGCGCGCCTGGGCCTTGGAGAAGGGCCATTCTCAAGCCTGGGCCACGACGCGAGAAACGCAATCAATAAACTTCGCGCTTATGAGAGTGACCTGGACGACCGAGGCGGCCCCGAAGGGTACTTGCCAAGGTGGCCCCGAGAAAACTCTTGGAGCTTTTCAGCCGCTTCTGAGAGGTCCCGATGCCAATGGCCTTTCAGATTGCCCTAGAATGTCCCCGGGAGATGTTCTTAGAGTCCTTGGCGAATCAAAACACAACGCACGTGCTGCCGCGAACCACGAGGCATGTGCCTGAGGGACGACGACAATATGTCAGAGAAGCGCATCGCCAGGAGTTCGCGACAGCTGTAGACTGCCATGTGCCGTAGTCTATTCCAGACGTGTAGACTACACATCGACTCATTTCGGCTGTTTCTTTGTTGGCTGTCGCTGGAAAGCCTGCGGCGAGGGGCAACATGAAGGAGGGAGGAAGAACATGTCCTCGGGATCACATCCAAAGGCGATGATACTCTCAACATATTCGGGACCCTACCCAGAACTTGCTATCCTCTGATCTTGGATGTATTCTCTGCTGGAGGAAATGGGAACAGACAACAGGACTCAGCAACACGAGTGCGGGGTACGAGCGAGAACACGTTTGCACTTGAAAGCAACTGTTTTTTTTTTCACCTGTTCGAACCCCCCCTCTCCCCTGACTTCCTCTTAGCATGCTCAGAAGACGTTCTTTCATATGTTCAGATCCGCCGACCCATGGTGGATCTA